TACTAATCGATTATGATCATGAATGTATTAAAATTTTGAAATATATTCTTTAAAAACTCTCAATTATTTACTTAATTTTTTGAGGAAGATAATGCCGGGGTGAGGGGTTAAAAAGTCTCTCCTCATCAACCAACTTTTTCTATAGTTTTTCTTATCAAATTTATAGTATATTTGTATTCATAAATTAAATTTTTAAATATATTTCAAGGACGTACTATGACCTACTCCACTCCATCCATATTCTTTCCGAATCTATCTAATGAAACATTTAAACTTTTTACATAAATAATGTAATTTTAAAATTTGATTGATCTTGATTTTATAATTTAATTTTGCAGCTAAAAATCGAAATACCAATAATAAAATTAATGTAAATTTATGATTGTTTTAATGGGGTTATATTTGAAATTATATTTATAACCATATGATAATCATTTATTTACGGGATGAAATAGTAATTTAGTTTTTATAGGAATTGTTAATTTATTATTTATTGTATAACCTTGTAAATTTCGCGGGAAATCTGAGGATGTTTATCCTTAAATATTAATAAAAGGAGATTGATTTTACATATCCTATAATAATTTTGGCCTGTGCTATACAATATTTTCCTTGATATATAGGTAAATTAAATTCATCGGGAAATCTGAGGATGTTTATCCTTAAATATTAATAAAAGGAGATTGATTTTACATATCCTATAATAATTTTGGCCTGTGCTATACAATATTTTCCTTGATATATAGGTAAATTAAATTCATGAGCTGCACATCCAATGTATTCGATAGTCGGATATTTATTTCTTACAAGTATCCATGCTTTCTTCAAATTACTTGCATTTTGAGTTATTATGGTGTTAGATTTGGTGTTTCCTATTTCTTCAATTGCTTTATAAAATATATTAGATATATATTCTTCCATATGCATATTGGTCCCTTTATAAAATATGGAGCTTGGGATTTCTATAAAATTCATAATGCATTCTCTTCTAATATTTGTCCAACCATTACTAAGGAGAGTCAAATTTTTATTATGAACTAATCTTTAGTTACTATATATATTTTTTATACTTACAATTCACTGATTAACAAATTTCTACTGAGTAAATCCCTATCCCATTTTTCTCTAATTTTTTTTACCCTACTTCTTATCCTAACCTCAGTTATTACATGTTTTAGCTTTAAATATTTTTCTGCTAAATTTCCTTCAGGTGAACATTACTTGAGTTGAGCTATTATTATATTATCGAGAATGAAGAATGAACGTATACATGTAAAGCAAAACAAAATTATTATTTATCACGAGGAAAAAATATTTTAGTAAAATATGATAAAAATCGTGATTATTTGATCAATAAACACATTAAAAATTTGGGAAACTATAAGGGATTTTGAATTCCCTTGGAAATTTCCCTTGTTATAACATCCCTAACCTTGACTGGTATAATGGTCTATCACCATTAATGACAAGGATAAATTTATAATATTATAATTTTTCCAACACCAAAATCTTTAGTTAATTTATTTAGAAATTACAAACTATTTAATTACAATTAATGTTAAGCTGGCTATAAATTCGATATTTTTTTTTCCTAAAATGTTTTTATTAAAATAAAATTCACTAATTTCAACTAAGAATTCGTATTATCTCCTTTTTCATCATTTCAAAAATGTTGAGAAAAAAATATTATTGGGATGTTTTGGCTATCCAATGGTTACTAATTTTGTCTCTTTAAGTTCGAATTCACTTTAAATTCCGGCCCAACTATTCAGATTAATTTTATCCAGGTTTAAAGTTTAAATTGTATAAGATAAGGTAATACAATAATACTCTGATTTTCTAATATGAATTTGGTCAAATATTTTAATATTATATAAATACTATTTATCGATTTATATTTGATATAACGTATTCCTCTCTTCAAGTAATCAAAATCATGTATAATCCCTAATCAGTTATTAAATCGTTAGAGTTTAAAATGTTTTTTTTTAACTGTAATAAGTCAATCCAATTTTCAAGTTTATGAAAATGTGAGACCCTATAATATTACCGAGTTAAAAAAAATTGTCATTAATTATATGGCCGCTTTCTGCTAAATTAATTGTCGGGACTTGGGAAGGTGTTACTTTTTTAAAAAATATTACTAGCTGGACATAGTCGAAGGTTTTATATACAAAAAACATACCTATTATCTCATGTATGAATAATTGTTTGGAATTATAAAATAAAATTATTTAAATATTATAATTGCTAAAACACGGGAATTGCAAAAAAATATTTGATTAGTCAACTTTTCCTTCCTCAATATAACTTTAAAAAAATGCATAACGAAAATGAATATTGCGCGATCGTTTCTTATCTTAAATAAAATTTTATAATTTAATATCTAAGTTTTTTTTACTGACATGGCAAGTTTAAATTCCCTTGATATAATTTAATTATAAATTTATAGCACTTTTCAAAAAAAATTTATTATAATAAAACGGTTTTAAATTTTTTATATTTTAAATTTTCGAATATCAATTAGGAGGGGCAGATTTTGGGTTCAAAGGGGGTAGTCATTGTTATAATTGTCATTATTTTAAAAAATTATTAATTTGCATTTATTTTTTAAAAACAATTATATATAGTACTGACTTATTGTATTCATTTTTTTGAAAAGAGCAGAGAGTGAAGGAAATATGGAAGACCGATGCGAGTTGAACTCTAAAACCATTTGGTCTCATTTTTATAAGACAGATATTTAAATTTTGTCAATATAGATTTTATTAAAAAATTTTTTGAAATAATTAACTATTAGAAATTTTATATAAGTTATAAAATTCTGATTACAAATTTGGAAAATTTTTGCAATTAATATGTATGTTAAATTTAAAAAATATTAATATATAATTTAACTTTTATTGCAAATTTTGAACCGTCTTTTATAATGAGAAAGTTTTACTAACATTTGTGGCTTGGCTACTATATATTATTTTAATCATGATTAGTTAAGTTAGTATTGGTGTGACTCTTTGAACCATTAATATATTATAAAATATTTCTAAATTTATATATTATCTTAGTTATTTTATTGATTATTTATATTAGATTTCATAAAATATTAAAGAAAATGTAAAGAACAAGTATCAAGTATGTCATTAATATTTTGGCTAACTTTTATTGTATAGTTATAATCTTAACAATAAAATATTAAAATTAAATTATTCTATATATAACAATATTAAGAAATAAAAATGGAATTTTTGTCCATTATAAGGCAAATTCAGCTATGGAAGCCGCATAAGTTGATTTAAATATAAATTTTAAAAAAATGATATATTATTAATAAATTATGATAGTACCCATAATATATAGTTGCAGGTATTTATTGAATATAATACTTCCTAATATAAGATATGAAAGTTATAGACAATTTTTTTAAAGTGGTCTCCTAGACTCGGTCCCCCTTATATTTGTCTGGTGGTATTTCCCTGTCAACCCTCCTCCCTGCCCATGCCTATCTACCAAAATATTTTGTATTAAAATAAAGATACCATAATATTTTTGATAGGTAAAACGGATTTATCAATATTGAACATTGAAGTAAGATAGGAAGGAGAAAGAATGATGACCCTGACACACACCTATCAAAAAGATCGTTTAATATTTGTAATTTCATTTACAAAACAGTTTCTTCTTTTTCTTTTAGTGTTTTACTTTTAATATAAAATATCATTAAAATTTAAGAACATATTGTTATTATTTTTATAGACATTTTTTATAATATCAAAAGAGTAAAAAACGAGAAATTTAATCAAATTCCTAATATCAAATACTAATTTATTACTATATAAATACATTACTAGTTTTACATTAAATGATAATTATTCTTTATCGTGAAACTAAATGTTTACCTCATCTCATTCGAAAATAAATTAAGGGAAAAAAAATGTAATAAATAATTTATAATATTAATTTTTTTAGCGAACAGTCCACGAATCCTCTCTATCTATACTAACAAAATTCAATAAATTATGATTTCTCTGTATTTTTTTTATTTTTTTGGTATAAAAATTTAATATATAATAGCATTTCTATTTAATTGATGTTATTTTTTGCGTTATTGGAATAAATTATAACTTTTAATATATATTAATATAAAAATATATTGTCCAGTATATATCGCATCCATTTTTATATTTATGAACGATCATGATAAATGTCATTTTTAGATTTTAAAAAAGCACATTGTCTATTCTATATAAATACTTCGATTTTACCTTATATTAGCTATTAAATAAATTGTTATAATTATAAACTATGCGAATCATGTTGGGATTTTTTCCCTCGTTGATTGGTGTTTTGTTTAGCCTGGTAATAATGATAAATCATATTATTATTTATTAATAAATATAAATAATTATGATAAAGACCACAATTATTTATTTTTATAATAATAAATTGAATAGGATTTAGCACCTTTTTAACAATGATAAAATCTGCTAATGAAATTTCTGCTCTTTCGCATTTATATATTAATTATACAAGATTTATGTGGCGTTGAATGTGCAATAAAAATTATTATATTCATAAATTTTATTTTTAAATAATAACACTAGAGCTTAGTGTTTATTTTAACAATAGGCTAATACAATGCAATCTAATTATCTATTATATAGCTTAACAGAAAAAGATTTGGCACACCATAACATTGGAATATATACTTTAAAATCAGCTGATTCATCAAAATTTTGTGTTTAATTATAAATAATAATAATAAACCGTAGTTGAGCTAAAATTCTTACCTTAAAATATAATCAACTCCATTATCAATTTTTTTGTGTTTAACTTATCTCTTTATGTATATTATGCCAAATAGAGCCCATGTTAAAAGCAGGGTTTCTATAAACATAATTAGGGAAAATCGACAAATTATATTTTCTAATTTTATTATTTTTTCACTTTATTTTAATATAATTTTAATTTATCTTTTTTCTAATTTTTTTTATATCTAACAGATCATGATCGCTTTTCTGCCAAAACCATTATTTAAAAATTAAAATTTGGACTATGAAATGACAAATGAGTGTAACAAAAATATACCGAATTTAATCATGGCAATAATAACACCAGAAATATGTCAACTGAATCGGTCATAAATAATTCTAGCCAGGGGTTAGATAACGAAAGAAAAAATTTCACTGAATATTCGGACCTAAATTTAACTATTTTCACAGACATAATCGGAAGGTTAGAAGTAAAATACATATTTTCTACCCTTTACATCATAATTTTCATAGTTGGTTCATTCGGTAACACATTGATAATATATGTGGTGTGCAAAAATAGGGGCCTAAGACAGGTGGTGACTAACATATTTATTACCAATTTGGCTGTTTCGGATATCATGATGTCAGTGTTGTGTGTACCATTCACTCCATTATACAGTTTTATTGGTTCTTGGGTGTTTGGTAGTTTTTTGTGTCGAGTCTTAAGCATGGCTCAGTGCATGTCTGTGTACCTTTCAGCATTAACTCTCACTGTAATTGCTTACGACAGATACCGTGTTATACTATACCCATTTATTCCTAGGATGACTATGCGTGGCTGCCTTTACAGAATAATGTTTATGTGGATTATATCGACTATCATATCGTGTCCCCTAGCATTTTTTCAAAAAGTGGTTAAATATCCCAATAATCCATCTCGCTATTGTGAAGAGTTTTGGCCTTCTTCGACTATACGTATCAGTTATTCTGTTGTTAACATTATGGCTCAATTTATACTTCCATTGATTTTCATCTCCTATTTCTATCAACGAGTATCGAAAGAAATGTCAAAAAATTCGAAAAAGCAAATCCATGGGCTAAAAAAGAAGGCCGAGAGGAGAGACATCAAGAGAAAAAAGAAAATTAATATAATGTTGATCACCATGATAATACTTTTTTCGCTATGTTGGCTTCCTTTGAACTTTGTAATAATATTTTTTGATGTTAATAGTCATTTAGTATGGTGGAAATATTACACTCTAGTTTTTTTCTTGTCGCATATGCTTGCTATGAGCTCTATTTGTCATAATCCATTGTTATACGCATGGTTTAATCCAAATTTTCGAAATGAATTTCAGAACATATTACCATGCATCCGCAAAAAAGGTACGAGATATTCTATTATAGACAACCCTTCAAAAATAATTAATCAATCTAAAACCTATGAAAATGATGATTCCATTATCAGTCCCAAATTTAATGGGAAAAAGAGGGGCGTCAAAGACTCCGGAATATCATCTACTGATGAGTCTAACCTAAAATTCTATTTAAAACCAGTATCTCGGTTATTTTTGAAGCGATTTATTCCACCTAAACCAAATGCTCATCAAAATTATGTGAAAAAGGTTATATACGAGTCTATAAAAATTGAGAGCTCTCAAAAACCATCGATCGCGCCGATTAATATTAAAAAATCTCAACATTTTCAAAATGATATTAATCGCGAAATAATTATACCCAGAATTAATATTGTACGCGGCTCATTAGACAATCAAGTTTTAATATACGAAACTGATCCAACCCACAAATCAACAGTATTACATTGTGAGAAAAGTGATATCGATAAGGATTGGAAAAATATTTTAACAACATCTAAATCTAAAAGCGGACATTTCAAATATTCGTTGGCAAATTATATATTAAAATTATTCCGTAATAAATCACAAGTAGATTCATCTAATTTTCCAAAATCCTCTAGAAACCCCAAATACAAAATTGGCATTAATTTGCCAACATGTCTCGTTTATAATTCATTTGATGATATCGATATCCATCCTTCCATCAAGAACCCTAATTTTAAAAACTTTAAGATTAATATAAACTCCGATCAATCTATCTCGGAGAAAAACTCTGTTAAAGAATTGATAGAGGATAATACTCACAAATATTGTCCCCTCAACATTATTGTAGATAGCCATCCATCAAATCAATTGCTTGATGAAATTCAAGTAGGAGAAAGTGATTTCGAATCGCTAAAAGGGACAAATACTATATATAATACGATTATGATATGCCCGACCTCTAGTGATGAACAGCAGCTTAATTCAAACTTAATTTTTGGAAAATTATCAAATGGGAAAATGGACTCAGTCGAAAGGCTCTCTTCCAATGATTTAAAATCTATCGATGATGATGATAATGAGCGAGCATTTAGAAAACCGATCCTTTTACAGAACTTTAGTGAATATGAGAATGCACTCAATTATCAAAATTTAGATATGATAAATCAAAACTTGCATTTCGATATATATCAAATTTGAAACGATTGCCCAGATATTATTTCTACCTAATTTTTCAAAAAAATGTGCAATAACCTTTGGCTAAATGTGGGCAAAAATTAACAATTAAAAATGCTGAGTTTGGGATGATAATAAAATCAAACGTTTATTTTTTTGTCTATATTTTAATTTATAATATTAGTACAATATTATATCATTTGGATAAATTGAAAAATAAAATTTTGAATTTGCCTTATTTATGGCTTTTTCCATTCAATTAATTTCTAAGTTAACAAAATCTTAATAATTCTTTTTGAGAAAACATTTTGATCAAATTAGGTAAGATTAATTGCTAAGAATGGATTGTTATTATAGATCAATGGCCTAGCAACTAGGACAGCAAAGGCAACGACGCAGTCGAGCCAGAGACCTTATAAAGATTTATGGATTTAAAATGTTATTATTGATTCGGAAGAAGAATATAAGGTAACAGAGTCTCTTTTGTTAATCACATATAAATAATCATTTATATATGAAGAATAAAAATGATTCTCAATATGAAATTAATGATTTGGTGATTATCATTATTTATAAAATGTGATTTTTAGAATAAGCATGAATAATATATTTTCATAATTCCTGTTGAGATGGTTGAATTTTCTTAAATTTAAATATTGTTATTTTCATGTACTTAAATTGTTTTGTTATATATCCAAAGGATATGTTATTATTATTTTACCGCTTTTGATTTTGTTAATACTGACGCGTTAAGATGATTGTACCCTTAAAATAATTTTACATATTGATTATATTAACGACTTATATATATACTTGAGAGAAGAAAAAAGACATGGATTTTAAAAATGTAACTCAAAGAAAAGATAAAAAATATTCATCATTAAACACATGCAATATTCCTATGATTAAATAAAATTAAAAGATATCATATTTGTATACCATTACTTGATAAATGCATAAAAGTATTAAGACAAATTATTACATTCTCATGGTGGGCAAGACGAGTCACTAATTCGCGACCTTCGCGTTGTCATGAGTTTCAAACTATCACATTTTCTCGGAGGCGATGTTTAAATATTTTATTTTCGCGTAATTTCTAATTAACATTGTAATCCTCTTCATTAATATTAAATAGTATTCTAGAAACTATGATGGCCGTGAAAGATATCGCCAATAACATTCCGGATTCATTCTTATTCCAGTTTTCAAAATTTGGCCGAAGTATGCCAGCATACTTTAACAGGGTTGAACATTTTTTTAAAAACAACAAGTGTTTACAAAGCCATGAATTCGCTGCTCCCCTAGCTAACCTACTTGACGAGGTACATGTAAATCACGATTCTAGTGAAAAAAAAATTTTTTAACTGCCTTATATTAACGTACACAACACTTGAAATAAACAAGTAAAAAAATAAAATATAAAAAAACATAATATAAAAATTGAAATATTAAAAAGTGATATATAGAAACTGAATATAAAAAATGCAACATAAAAAATGAAATATAAAAAAATATATATATAATTTTTTTTAAAAGCAAAATATAAGAAAATTAATTTTTAATTAATTCTTCAATTTACCTAAATAAGTCAGTATGGAATATTCGACTTGAAATGATAAGAAGATTAATAAGTCCATTGAGAACATAAAATTCTTTATCTCAAATCACAAAATTAAAAATGCATCCATATTAATAAATACAGAAATAATATGATTTGTTGTAATACATTTTCATAATGTGAAAAAACATTCTTATGTAAATAACTTTCCATAATTATTGTAAAAAACATTTTGATATAAATTTTTTTAAAAATTTTTAAAAGTTTTTAAACTTTAATGAAGACTAACATCAAAGTTATGAATCAAATAGTTTTTTTTGGGCACAAGTTTAAGTGGAAAAATGAGAATTCAAAAATTTTTTTTTATAAAGTTCTTAAACTTTAATGAAGACTAAGGTCAAAGTTATGAATCGAATATAGTTTTTTTTATTTTTTGGACATAAGTTTAAGTGGAAAAATTAGAATTTAAAAAGATATTATATAAAAAATATTTTCTAAGATTTTTACAATACCTTTTTTAAATTTAAAACATTATTCCAATATTTTAATTTTACTTTTAGTTATCCAAAGAATGGAAATCAGGATAAGAAATTTGAATAATTTCTTAAATAAACATGAGTGAAAACTCGAATTTAGGGTTTTCAGATAATTCTTATTTGTTTAGAATTTTTTATGATCAATTCGCCATAATAAAAAAAATCATTTATTATTTATTTATTCTTTGTAAATAAAATATTACACAATATAAATCAATTACAAATTCAATCATTTAAAGGAATACATCGAATTCTCTCTTCAATAAACTTTATGGTGTGAGAATAAAAATTTGAAAAATTATATGTAAAATAATTGCCTAAAATGCTCGTAACAATTGAAATAACTTCATTTCGGTTATTGGGTTTAGGAGAATTTGATCTATATTGATTTTTAATTACTCCGAAAAAAATTTCAATAGGATTTAATTGCGGCGAATAGGGTGGCAAAAATATGAACTAATTATCCTCGCTCGATGTATAGGAGCATTATCCATTATAAGTAATGAATTTGAAGGTAAAAGTGCGAAAAATTCATCTAGGTATGCGTTGAATTTTATCGCAGTAAAAGCCCCATCTATTATTGTGAATTTTTTCAATCCACTTATTCCTATTGTGCATAGGTTACTGGAAATTTTTAAAAATATAATGTTTTTTTCAAATCTTTCTTTCAAGTTTTTAAAAGTTTTTTAAAAAAAGGATGTATTTTTCTCAACAAGTTTTTACAATAATTACGGAAAGTTAAATTGAAGTGTCGGGGCTTATGGGTATAATGGTTGGTGGCACATCTCGATGATTTTTGGTATGCGTCATTTTAGGTTAATAAAAGCAACTACAACAATTAAATTTTATTTAATTTTAAATCCAAAAAAAATATAAAAAATAAGAATTATCTGAAAACCCTAAATTTTATTAAGAAATTATCAAATTTCTTATCCTGATTTCAATTCTTTAGATAACCAAAAGTAACATTAATATTATATTTACTTATTACACACATTTAAAAAAAAATATATATATTATTAAAATATAAATTATGGGAATATCGATGGCTCTAAAAAGAGCTTATAGTAAAAATGTACCTAAAAAACATGTATAATTATGTTTAAAAATTTCTAATTGTATTTTTTGTTTTAGGAAGATTGACTCTCGTTTTTCGTTTGTTATGTTAAAAATTTTACATGCTAAAATTTTTAAAAATGAATATGTTGATTGGGAGAAATTACCATTAGTTGAGATGACTATGGGTTGAAAAATAAAATTATTTAATATTGAGTATTTATTGATTTTTTTATTTTCGCCATTAGTAAGAGGATTTGAATTAATTGATGAGGGAAAGGAAGAGACACAGGTAGCGTCCCAAAATTGTAATAATACTTTAAATTTAAAAATATTTACAATGCATTTAAAAAAAAAATTATTCTAAAAATCTTAGAAAATTATTATTCTCATTTTCCCACTTAAACTTGGGTCCAAAACATAAAAAAATTATATTCGATTCATAAGACGTTAATCTTCATTAAAGTTTGAAAACTCTTATTTATTAAAAAAAATTTAAAAAAATTATATCAAAAATTTTTAAAAATTTTATCAAAATGTTTTTACAATAATTATGGAAAGTTATTTAACTATATAAGAATATTTTTTCACATTATGAAAATGTGTTACAATAAATCATATTATTACTGTAATATCTCAGATAATCTGTACACTTTAATAAATGTTTTGACAAATGATAATACATACAATATGACATACGACGAATTATTAGATAAAATAAAATTTATCTACAACTACAAATCATTAAAATATAAGACAATTGATAATATACTATATTAGCCTAATAAACCAATGACCAGTTAAAAAAAACACCTTATCATTTAGAAATAGTTATAAAGAAAATTATTACAACAAATATATAATATAAAAATAAAGATACAAATAAGAAAATATAAATAAAATAATTAGTTTACATAAATTTGATGACAGTATATTATATAATGATATAGTAACTAAAGAAAACAACGATAATTATATAATTATACCTATAATATCACATGATGAAATCTTAAAAAATGTATTAACAATTAAAAACCTTAATTCTTAGATAAGGTCATATATCTAAGAAAATGGATATGAAATCTAAAATTTATGTAAACAAAATTTCGACGTCATTAAATTCAAATCCTACTTAAAAAATGATAAAAATATGATTAATGAATGCCAATATTCATATAAAATTAAAACTTAGAAAAAATAACATTAACACTTGGAAAACGCTTACGTTTATAAAGTTGTTTAACATAAATAATGCCGAAGACGCTAAGATCTATAAAGATTCTAAAATACAACATATTTAAAGAACAAAAGAGTCAAGTTCAAACAATTTCTTGTGATTTAGGGAGGGAGAACCTCAAAGATTATGATAAACAATTCGATTTTAATAAATATTAAATTATTATTGAAAAAGTATTATAAATTCATTCTAATTTCAATATTATTAATTCTGGGAATATTATTACATAGACTGGATACATTTATTATTAATGATAATCAAAAGGACAATGACAAACACCAACGACAACTGCGAGTAAACAATCAATTCGCCAAGAATCACAGTATCAATTGGCTATCGATAAAAGACATTTAGATTGAGTAATTAAAGCTCAAACTAAGATCGCAGCCAGACTTGAACAAAGCAATGAAAACGATTTCAACGACAATCTACTCAGCGACATCACGAGGAACAGTATGAAGGGTCTCTGCACAAGGGGGAATGTTGAGATGGTTAACTTTTGTTAAATTTAATATTGTTATTTTCATATACTTAAATTGTTTTGTAATATATCCAAAGTATATGTTATTATTTTACCACTTTTGATTTTGTTAATACTAACGCGTTAAGATGATTGTATCGTTAAGATGCAATTTTACATATTGATTATATTAACGACTATATATACTTGAGAGGAAAAAAAAGACATCGATTTCAAAAATGTAACTCAAAGAAAAGATAAAAATGTAATTTATT